AATGCAGGTGTATAAGACATTCCAGATTTACATGGTCATTTATTCAGGGGTGTAAAGAGGGGATCTTTAGTTTTCATTTTATACTTACTGAAAGTAATTTTTAAATGGTCCTGCACAAAAAAGAGACTAGTATTTAATTCATGTGAATACAGCATATTGACTCTAAAATCCAGAGGGTAACCTTAAGTTCTAAATTTCATAATGAAAAAGTACTTTGGTATCAGTGTACACTGATTCCAATTCTTTGATATCAATATAGATAGCAAGCTACAAAGTACAGGTTACTAGTAAATGAAACCCAATGCCATACAAGTCATACTATAAAAACAAACCACCAAGAGAAATGCAAATCAAAACCACTGTATACCACCTCACATCCACTGAATGGCTACTATCAAGAAAAATACAAAATAACAAATGTTAGGGAGGATGTGGAGAAATTAGAACCCTTGTGCACTGTTGACGGGAATGTAAAATGGTGCAGCCACTGTGAAAAATACGGCAATTCCTCAAAAAAATTAAACATAGAATGAATGTCTGATCCAGAAATTCCACTTCTGGGTATAGACCCAGAAGTGAAAACAGCAACTCAAACAGATTATTCATTCACCCATGTTCATAGTCGCATTATTCTCAATAACAAAAGGAATGCAGGTGTCCATTGACAGATGAATGGATAAGCAAAAGACACAATGGAATATTATTCAGCATTAGAAAGGGAAGAAACTTTGACACATATTATAACATGGATGAACTTTGAGATCATTGTGCTAAATGAATTAAGCCAGTCATACAGAAAATAATACTGCATGATTCTACTTATATGAGGTACCTAGAATAGCCAAAGTCAAAGAAAGTAGAATGGTGATTGCCAGGACTGGGGGCGGGGGAAGGGGGAAAGGAATAGGGAGTTAGTGTTAATGGCTACAGAGTTTCAGTTTTGCAAAATGTGAAAACAGTAAAAATGGATTATAGTGATGGTTGCACAATTTGAATGTACTAAATACCACTGAACACCTAGAAGTGGTTAAGACGGTAAATTTCATATGATTTTACAATAAAAATTTGGAAGACAAATATAAATAATGGTACTATGTCAATAAACACTAAACAATTTAAAATGTAAGCAACTAAATGGGATGTAGTATGCTGAACTGGCTCCTAGAACACAGAAAAATGTCATTAATGGAAAAATGGGCGAAACTGCACTAGTCAGTAGTTTACTAATAGGGTATCAATGTTAATTTCTTAGTTTAGACAAACATAACATGGCTACTATGCAAGACAATGTTGTGGGGTTAAGGGTATACAGCAGCTCTCTGTCCTATCTTTGCAAGGTTTCTTGAAGTCTATTATTCCAAAATAAAAGTAACAACTAAAAAGAAATTAGAATCAACTCCTACATAGAAGACAGGAGTGCATATGTGCTCAGTGGTGTCTGACTCTTCACAACTGTATGGACTGTAGCCCCACCAAGCTCCTCTGTCCATGGAACTTCCCAGGCAAGAGTACTGGAGTGGGTTGCCATTTCCTCCTGCAGGGGATCTTCCCGACCCGGGGATCGAAACCGTGTCTCCTGCCTCTCCTGCATTGGCAGGTGGCTTCTTTACCACTGAGCCACCTGGGAAGCCCACATAGAAGACCAAGACAATACAGATATATTAGAATTGACAAAGTAGACACCAAAATATGAACACCTATACAGATAGCTACAGATGTGAAATCAGTTTTATTGTGTTGTTCACTGATGCCTAGCTACTGTCTTATCATACAATTGCAAAAGGGCAGGCTGTTGAATTTTATATTGTGGTAATTTCCTTCATGATACTGGGTGCATTTTTTCACTTAGATCTTGGCATGGATAGTGCGATCTTCCTTCTGCCAATTCATGATTTTATATCTTTGATAATTTGTTACTTGGTGAGCATCTTGGTTGTTTCAAGTCAATGATAAGCCCAGTTTTGTGCTCAGCGGATTCCTAGGCAGCACAACTCAGCCTGGACAGCCCTAGCTCAGTGCACTGGCTTCCAGCTGTAACAGGTGCATTGGATATAAGCCTATTTGAGGAGAACTTAGGTATCTGCACAAACGTGCTAAGTCACGTTAGCCGCTGGAAGCCCATGTGGGCGGACGGTACTGTAGCTTTTACACAAAAAAAGATCATGAAATGCTTTTATCAGTAACTAAGCAGCAGCACGGTGGAGTCAACAGCACCCCACTCCAGTACTCTTGCCTGGAAAATCCCATGGACGGAGGAGCCTGATGGGCTGCAGTCCATGGGGTCTCTGAGTCGGACACGACCGAGCGACTTCACTTTCACTTTTCACTTTCATGGGTTGGAGAAGGAAATGGCAACCCACTCCAGTGTTCTTGCCTGGAGAATCCCAGGGACGGCGGAGCCTGGTAGGCTGTCGTCTCTGGGGTAGCACAGGGTTGGACACGACTGACACGACTTACCAGCAGCAAGCAGTAGGAAACAACTGATAAAAACATCTTGCTTCATTATGAGTCTGCTTGAATATTCTGCTCTGAAGAGTAGATTTCAAAGTTAATGAAACATGTGGGAGCAGAACTAAGTGAAAACAAAGCTTTACTCAGAAAGACAATTTGAAACAACTTTTACTTTATTTCCCAGCCCAGCTGCTTTTCTGTTAAAGGTCAATTATGTAAAAACTGATGTGACATAAGAGAAGGGTAGAAAATACACTGTCTCTCTTAACAGCTCTGCACAAGGGAGAAACGACTAAGGCTATTGTGTTTTCTTCTCTTGCATTCTCTGACATCAGTGGTCTAAACACTCCAGGGGCTTACAGCTGCAGGTGCAGAGCTTTGACCCACAGGTGCAGCTTGCATTTCCTTTCTCTGTGACCTTTAAGGTCAACTGGTTAGCTTGCTTTGACTCAAATAGAGGTCTTCTTAATTCCTCCAGTACAACCTTAACTTGATATGAAACACTTACACAAGGAATGGTGCAAGACAAGAAGGCAGTTTATTGTATCAATACTTTGGGGAGAAAAGAAAAAACATGATTCCATTTAAGGAGAAATAAACAGTCACTGACACTCAGTAAGCAACACTGCCATCTAGTGGAATGATGATATACCACCAAGACTTTCCAGACCAGGCATGAAATGTGAGTGGATTTGTCGGTTTAAATTTTCACCAAAAAACGGCACTTTTGAGAAGCTGATTTTCAGAGAACCTCAGATTTTGAGAAAGTATTTTCTTTAAAATGCACAAATGTATGTGCTTTCTGATTTGGGGGCGGGGGGGGAGGAGGTTTGGTTTTTTTTCCCAAATAGACTACCAAATTAATTCTCAATTTCAAAGTTAATGAAACACTTTGGAGCAACCTGCCTCTTTGAGCATCTGTCACTCTTGCACTCTGGTTCAGCAGTCTAAACAGCAACCCCTGATGATGACAATTTATAAAGAAGTAAAACTCAACTGTACAAGAACTACATTAAGTTTACTCATTTCCTCTATTTTTACAATCTAAGGTGCTAAGTATTTGCACTTCACTTATTTGAATTCCTGGGGGGGAAAAAGCATTAGAACGCACCAATAACGCTTTTGCATAAATCACATAACCCAACTCTTATTATGACTACACAATAACGGTGGAAGATACTGCTGTGAGGATGTGGGAATGCTGTTCTTAATGAATAATAAAGTCATTCTTCTCAAGGCTTTAATTCTCCTTTATACCCAGGTGCTGCAGTAAATGTGCTGATTTGATGACTTCTATGAGCATATAGATGAGAATATTTAATGAAACACCTGGCTGACAAAAGCAAGTTGTGAGAATAACATTGTTAATAGGCATGATCTCAAATTGGCACCTCTATGATTACTGATATTTTAGATTCTGGGTTAAGTGCTCTGCTCTTTGGAACATCCACAATGGTTATCGATCTTGGTAATGAGCTCCTCGTTGCAACATTTCTGGATATATGGTTGGAGGCACTCACGGATTCTAGAATGCATGAGTCTGACACGGTTTTCTTAAACCATACTCCTGGCAAACTATAAACTCAGTTAAGGATTTCGAGAAGAGCCAAGTTCTATGAAAGAGGTATACAAGGACAGGGTTAAGAAGCTGAATTAAAACAAGTTTAGGTTGTGTTCTTGTCAGCAGACAAAACCGAATGTTCTAGTTCTGAGAACCTGAGATTGTCCAGAAAAGCAAAATTCTGAGTGTAGGACACAAGTTACCACAAAGTCAGAACCCACTGCTCTGAGTTTCCAAAAAATATATATGAGTTGGGGAGTGAGGGTAGTCCCTGAAGTACATCTGAACGAGGTGGTTCTTTTGAGAGTTAGTCTGGGTTGCCTGTGTTCACCACAATTTGCAGTAATCACCCCACCCCAGTCTAAAGCCTTCCTTTACCATATATTCTAGTCTACTTCATCTTTCTTTCATATATGCTACTACTTGGGCACCCCTGAAGCAAAGCAATTAAAGATGCTTGGGAAGCCTTATAGTAACTCCAACATGATGCCAAAGTCACCTCCAAAAAAAGTTTATTAGCATGATTAAAAACATTTTCTGGAATGACAGAATTTCTAAACATGAAAGAGGATCAGTGGCTATACTTTATAACCAATATTTGCAATTGGAAAGACAGCTTTATTGCCCAGTCTTCGTTTTATTACAAACAACCCACATTTACTGGTTCCCTGTGAAGTCATGACTATTGCTTTGGGAATGAGGCCCTACTGCAATTAAGTATAAAAAATATCTTCCATAATCAGAGTTTGACCTGCATTATTGAGTAAAGAGTTGATAAAAATCCTCAAAGAGTTGGTTTTTTTGTTTTTTAAAAAACATTCCTTTTACACACTACAAAGCAATAATTAGTATTTTGGCTTTTAAAATTCCTACATGATATTTAGAATGGCAGTCCCCAAAGGTCCTCCTTCACATAACTGAACTCGCAGACCCTCTTCCAGAGTGTACATTCTTGGAGTGGACTCTGAAGACCTCAACGTCCACGTGTTTATACAGGTTTGAGAACAAAGACAGCATCATCCAGAACGTAGTAGTCATTATACATGTCGCCTTCACACAGGTATGGCAGTCTGGTGAAAGCTTCGATAACAAAGCCAGCTTTTCTGAAAACTTCAGGCAGACTATTCACTTGTTCTTCCCAATTCTGTCCCTTGATTTCCAAAATTTCCGATGGTTTATCCCACTTGCCACCTACTAAAACAAAAACATGAAGTTAAAATCTTGAACAAGCAGATTATTCAAGAGGGAAGAGGGGAAGAACAATATTTGCTAAGGACTTGGTATGTGCCAAGCACTGGGTGCCTTGATGAATGATCTCCCAGGGGACCCAGCAGTAGGATAAAGGGGAAGTAGAGGCTTAGGAAGACTGAAGAACATGCCCCAGCTTGCAAAGTTAATGAACACTGGGGCAGAAATGTAATCCCTCATTAAACCAGACCCAAAGCCCACATTACTCCTTTCTCTGACTGGTGTTTAATGACTGGTGTGTAATGGTGACTGGTGTGTAATGGTTAACAGGTTTGGAAAACTGCTTATTAAACACTGGAATATTGAAGCAGAGTGTAACAAATTTTGAAAGAGTGCTTTGGATAAAGGTAAGAAAATGCCACTAGTGTAGTAAAATTATGCCACATATTAACTAAAGAGGTTTATCAGGCTGAAAGTAAAAATAGGTTAACAGAGGGGTTTAATTTCTAAAAACAGATCATTTGGTGTGCTTTTCAAGGGAGGTCAATCCACTCTCTAACTTTTCAGAAGAATTTCATACAAGTTAACCTCCAGAACCAGAGAAAGGATAACACACTAGAATGGATGAATCAAGCTAGCATTTCTTGGAACAGTGACTGAAGTCTGTGTTACATTAGTCATTTCCAAACCCATGAGTGTCAGATGCCCAGGTACTGGAGGGCTAGAAAAAGTCTTCAGGTTTACATATATACCAAGCACTGACTACAGACGCAAACACACACGCACACATACAGTGGTATATATAAATCTGGGGGGCGCTTTCAGACATAACAATGATGTAAAAAAAAAAAAAAATACACAGTAATGTTGAAAGTATTACTAAATACAGAGAATAACTTTCTGGAAATGACAAAATATATAATCAACAGGAGCCAAGCATACAAACAGTACAGAGGAGAGGCTTTTCATGGTTTCCAGCAGTGAACACCCTTCTTCCCCGTGGAAGGCAAAGCCTAGGGAAGCAGCTTCCCTCTCCTCTTTCTTGAAGCTCAGGCAATGGCTCATGACCTAAGCTCAGAAACACTCGCCTGGGGCCTGGAATGAGGAGCGAGTGGCCCAGAGAAGTGGGGACATGAGGCTCCTTCTCTGGGAGCAGTGGTTTGAGTCCAAGCAGCTGGGGCAGCATGCAGTGGTACTACTGACAGGCTGTGGTCCACACCAAAGCAGCAATGCTTGCCGGTGGCAGTGTGCTCTTCAGATCAGCTTTAGAGCAGATTTCAGGGCAATGTGTCTTGCATGTAGACCCCAACACATGATTCTCCAGTCCTCCCACGTACTCACTGAGCTACCCTAAAATCCTTTCAATAAACTCCCTTTTGCTTACTAAATCAGCCCAAGTCACTTTCTGCTGTTTACAAAGAACCTGACTGATGGCCCCCGAGGGACTAGGGTGGGTGTTCTGGATGACAGAGATTCCACACATTTATTTCACAATAAAAGCAGTCGCACAACACTGGGGCACAAGGGCTTCCCAGGTGACTTAGTGGTAAAGAAACTCCTGCCAATGCAGGAGATGTAGATTTGAACACTGGCTTGGGAAGATCCCCTAGAGAAGGAAATGGTAACCCACTCCTGTATTCTTGCCTGGGAAATTCCAGGGACAGAGGAACCTGGCAGGTTATAGTCCATGGGGTCACAAAGAGTTGGACATGACTTAGCGACTAAACAAAACTGGGGTACAATTAGTCAATGGCACCCAACTTATTTATTCACTGTTCACTGATTTTTCTCTTGTCTCTACATGAAGATGGACTTCCCAGGTGGCACTAGTGGTAAAGAACCCATCTGCCAATGCAGAAGACGGAAGAGATGTGAGTTCGATCCCTGGGCTGGGAAGAGCCCCTGGAGGTTGGGAAGAGCCCCTGGAAGAGGGCATGGCAACCCACTCCAGTATTCTTGCCTGGATAATCCCATGGACAGAGGAGCCTGGTGGGCTACAGTCCACAGGGTCGCAGAAAGTCGGACACAACTGAAGTGACTTAGCACACTACATGGAGATATTTCCTTCTGCTTCTCCTCGATTTCCAGCAGTTATCAGTCCAGCACCAAGAACAAAGTAGATGCCCAAGAGCAGAGACTGAACTGCTCTAGAAAATTTAAGTATGAGTTATCTGTCAAACAATACTTTCTAGGAATATGCACCAAGGTAAATCAAAATCTCACCCCAAACATCTAACATCTTTGAGGATTTGTAAAACCCAAGAAAAATGTGACCATATTAACATTTGGAAATGTACTCTAGGCTAAAATCTCAACTTTAAACGGTGAAACTGGATTACAAGCAATCTTTACACAATTTCAAAAAGTTCCCAATTATGGTTCCTCAATAAGAGTTCCTCTCTTTGGTTCTTCCTTTTCTTAGAAAAAAAAAAAAGCCGAAACTCTCTTCAAATACATATTCCCACACCTCACACATACACACAGAAATGGAGACTGTGAACAGAGGCAATATCATTCTCGGTCTGGAACTCAATCTGATTCTGTTTTATGTCGGTAAGGTTCTTTTTTTTCCCTCCATTTTATTTGAATTAATTGTTACTTTTCACCTAAAAATTCATTTATATTTTAAGCCCCTACAGATTTTTAAATGTGTAACATTATGGAAACTGTCTAGGCGACAAATTTCCTTTTTTCTCAGAGAAATAGGTAATAAAAGAACAGCTGAGAAAAAAATTAATATTAACATTGAAAATTTCCTTTGCTATCAATGCTGCTTTAGAGAAGAGTACTTCACCAAACAAAGGCTTGAAAATATTCATAAAATCACGTTAATCATCAACAATTCAGTTCCCATACAGGCAAACTGACTGTGCACTAAATACTTGAATATTTTTAAAGAACAGTGTTTCAGAAAAAGCTGAATTTCTATAAATTGAAGTACCTGTCATTTAAAAAAACTGCAATGGCTCCTTCCTTGAAAAATAACTGTATCACAAATATATGGATATTTCTGCCTGTTTTTTCTCTATGAGAGAGTTTCCTATATCACAGTTCTAATAATTTCATCATCGTTCTAAAAAAAATCTAATAATCTCAGATCTGCTCACAAAGTTTGGGTCATAGGCCAGGAAATGGAACAAAAGCTCTTATTTTTTTCTCATCTGTAAAGCAATATTTTTAAATGTTAACAGTGATTTGGTGGGGGTGGAGTGGTGAGAGGACTATGGGTGACTTTTTTGCTTCTACTTTCAGTAATAAGTCTATTTATTCCCAATAAGTATATATGTTACTTTTAGAGTATTCTAATTAGTATTATTTTTAAAAAGAATTCTTATCTTTCAAAGATATATACTGAAAGCTGTGCAGACAAATTATCTGGAATTTGCCCTAAAATAACACAAGAGTAAAGGCACAAGTAGGGAGAAGAGCTGAAACAAGACTGGGCTGCAGTCAGGTGATGGCGGAGAAGTTACTGTGCTGGTCAACTACTTCTGCGTACGTTCGAAATTTTCCATTAAGTCGTTTTTTAGAAAGTTTGAAAATTACTTTTCTATGTATTTTTGAGCTTGGTCTTCAAAGACAGTCATCTTTTTTTATTCCCTCCACTGAGAAGATAAACTTTCAACCTTTTCAGAGAGTACTGTGTTTAAAAAGAAACCCTACAGAATGTGAGAGTTGTTCAAGCGCAGCTCTTCACAGGAGTGGGCTGCAGGCTGACACGTCCAAACTTCCCTTTGGCGCTCAGCTGCTGCCTCACTTCAGGGCGGGGGAGGGAGCAGCCGTCTCCTCACAGCCTGGGCTCTCACAGGAAACCACCGCGCGGGTCCCTCCCTTCTGAGGCAGTCACCAGGGGAGATATGAAACGCCAAAGTTGCAAGTATTTATTTTACCCTGGAACACTAGTTCTCCAAGAAAAATATTAAAAGACAGCTTCCCTTTTAAAAACTACCTGAGGGAGGACTTGACACTGGGACGCTGCTGATTAACTTCATGACTCTGGCAGGCCTACTTCCACTTCAAGTTCCACACTTATCACTATACTTGTAACGCCATTTCTCTACTTCTAAGGTGACGAGGTCTGGGTAGGAGACCTGCGGTTGCAGTTACCAGCCTCAGGAGTGAAGCGAAGTCCCTTGGCTGAAGACACAGGAAGCCTGGTCTTCCCCAGTGACTTGACTTTACCCTCTCGTCTGGTTTACCTTTACCGGGTTGCTAAAAAGCGCCCAGCTCATCTCCAATTGTACAAATACAAAAATCAGAACACAGTGAGCACAGATTTGGGTCACAGATACCATGTTTCTAGTTTTAATTCTTCTGTTCTGGATCAGGACCTGTAAGAAAAATGTTAAGTGACAAAAAGCCTGTATGAAACTTTTATCAGACAATTTGGATTATTTTTTAATTTTGTGTACAATAGCAAAGGGAAAAGTCAGACAAATAAGACCATGTGGAAACACAGAACCACACAAAGTCAGAGTGAAAACATGCATAAATTCCCATTTACCTCAACCAAAAGTATTTCACAGAGCCTCCCTGCCCCCAAAACGGCTGAGGGCAGGTTTTCCCAGTAATAAATACCTGAGCAGCGTTCCAGCTTCATGAACCTGGGTTTAGATAGAAGGCCACATAGGGACCCACCACCCATGACAGGGAAGCAGCATGACGTGGTGGTGGAGAGAGCGCTGGATGGGGTGTCTAGTCTTGGCCCTGCTGACATGATACTGTGAAGTGAAGCGAAAGTTGCTCAGTCATGTCCGACTCTTTGCGACCCCATGGACTATACAGTCCACGGAATTCTCCAGGCCAGAATACTGGAGTGGGTAGCCTTTCCCTTCTCCAGGGGATCTTCCCAACCCAGGAATCAAACCCAGGACTCCCGCATTGCGGGTGGATTCTTTACAAGCTGAGCCACAAGGGAAGCCCAAGAATACTGGAGTGGGTAGCCCATCCCTTCTTCAGCAGATTTTCCCGACCAAGGACTAGAACTGGGGTCTCTTGCATTGCAG